TTATATATATATATATATATATATATATATATATATATATAATTTAAAGAGAAGAAAAGAATTGCAACATTGAGTCGAGTACCTTTAAATCATTAATATTAATGCACTCTTTCTTTATTGTCTTCAAAATTGAAATCAGAAATGAAAATGCTCATTTCATCTAGACAAGACATCATCCTTTGGTTGGTTCCCATTACCGGCACTTTTGTAGACGGAAAAAGAGACAGCAACCACTAAGCACCAATTTTCAAACTCAACACGCCCAACTCCATTTAAAAAAAAAAAAAAAATCTCTTCTTTCCATAATAAATATTATTGTCTTTAACTATTTTATAAAAATAAAAATTTACTAAAAACAATATAACATAAGAATTTAATTTTAAAGAATATTGTAAAAAAAAAAAATCAATATTATATTAAAAAAATAGCAAATATTGAATTTTGTTGGAATGTCATACATATACAAGCGAGAGAAAGTAATAAATAAAGAAACAAACAATAAATATCAGGTAATAAAACGCCGTCGTGTCCGAATGGTAGAATCTCTGAATAGCTTAACTAGCTTTCCGCAAAGAAGAGACTTGAGAGGAACCATAAATCTCCACAAAGTAGTTCCCAAGATCCGATCCGATCCATTTTCACTCTCTCGCGTCCTGTTTTCACATTTTGTGCATGAAACGAAGAAACTCTCTCTCTCTTTGAACCGCTTTTGCCCTAGGGTTTCTCCATAAATGTGTGCGATCGAGACCTAGGGTTTGTCAGGTCTTCCACTTTTGGTTCTGCAGCGTATGTTTCAGGCGTCGTCCTTCCGATTCCGTGCGCAAGGAAGCCATTTTCGTCAACGCCAATTTCAATGAGGAGCGGTTGATGTCGTTTCACGAAATGGAGAGGGATTCGTCTAACCGGCGTCGTTCCAATGGAGAGAGCAGTTCAGCTTCGCCCGAGGACACTCGTCGGAAGCGTGCGAAGAATTTTTGCTTAAAGTGAGTTTAATTGCATGTCATAGGCATTGGGCATTCGTTACCTCTTAAGATGCGGTGTTCTTGGCTAGGGTTCTGTCACAATTGATGTTCATTTTTGAATTGTGATAATGGTGAACTGTGTGCCCGATTAGGGTGTTCTCGAGAAATGTGATATACTGATGTTTCATTTTGTTTGGCAGAGACTCTCATTCTGTAATTGGGAATTCCTCGAATACTGGGGAATCCAGTGCTTCAGTTGAATGCGGGGATTATGATGGTTTTCAAGGATCGTCTCTGCCATCGAATGGTGACGTTCCTAAGTTGATGTCTGCTGGTGAGGAGAGTAACTTCGATGAAGGATATGACAGTGACATTTCAAAAGTGGATGATCTAGAGGTCAAGATGGATCTTACGGATGATTTATTGCATATGGTATGACTATGCTTCGGGAAAGGAATTGTTTTGGTGCTATTTGTTGTTGTTTTAATGATTTGAAATTGTCTTCTTACCTCTACCGTACCTTTGTAATTTAGGTTTTCTCGTTTCTGGATCATCCCAATCTCTGCAAAGCTGCCAGGGTTTGTAAGCAGTGGCGAACTGCTAGTGCTCATGAAGACTTCTGGAAGAGTTTAAATTTTGAAGATCGGAACATATCTGTAGAGCAATGTGAGACTGAGTACATATGTCATCATAATTTGTTATTTGTAGATATTTTGTGCCTTATAGCATTGGGTATTGGAAATAGCGCCATGCATTCCTTGTAAACCTGTAAATGTGCTGATATAAGTCTTGTGTATTTATAGTTGAGGACATCTGTAGGCGTTATCCTAATATCACAGCAATCCGGATGTCAGGTCCTTCCACTTACCAGCTTGTCATGAAGGCCATCTCTTCGTTAAGGTAGGTAGTTTCTGCTGTATTTGGGTTGTCAATCAAGTTATCTGTGATTCTTGCTGATTCTTTATAATTGTTTTCAGAAATCTTGAGGCTTTAACATTGGGAAGAGGACATATAATGGACAATTTTTTCCATGCTTTAGCCGATTGTTCTATGTTGAGAAGACTGAGCATCAATGATGCTATACTTGGCAGTGGCATCCAGGAGATATCAGTTAATCATGATAGGTTGTGCCATCTCCAGTTGACTAAATGCCGTGTGATGCGTATAGCAGTCAGGTGAACAAGTTTTGGTGCTTAGCTAACATTTAGCTGTCTCTTTACCAATGAACTAAAATGTGATTGCTTATTCTTTTTTCAGGTGCCCACAGCTTGAAACTATGTCATTGAAGCGCAGTAACATGGCACAAACTGTGCTCAGTTGCCCTCTTTTACAAGAGCTTGATATTGCTTCTTGCCACAAACTTCCTGATTCTGCTATTCGTTCAGCTGTTACATCATGCCCACAATTAGTTTCTTTGGACATGTCTAATTGTTCGAGTGTTAGTGATGAGACATTGCGGGAAATATCCCAGAATTGTGCCAACCTTAGTTTTCTTGATGCATCGTACTGCCCAAATGTATCCTTGGAGGTATATTTTAGAGTCTATAATTACTTTTTGCCTATATAGATTCAATCTGCCTTGTTTTGACATTTGTTTTTCTTCCTCTTTGAAGAATGTTAGACTGCCAATGTTAACAGTTCTGAAGCTTCATAGTTGTGATGGCATCGCCTCAGTGGCTGCAATAGCTTATAGTTCTATGTTGGAGGTTTGCAATTTGTCCATGATGTGATATTAATGTCTTAATTCCTGGCAATACTTGCTAGATGAAAAATGATGTTACTGCTTTTGCAGGTTTTGGAGCTTGATAATTGTAGCCTATTGACATCAGTGTCTTTAGATCTTCCCCGCTTGCAGAATATTAGATTGGTTCATTGTCGCAAGTATGGTTCCCTCTGCTTCTTGTTGTGCGTTTCTTTAATGCTTCAATTCACTGTATTGCTGAGTATTTTCTTTTCTAATTATGTATTAAATTGTTTTCCTTGTCAGATTTGCTGATTTGAACTTGATGACTCCAATGCTTTCTTCTATTTTGGTGTCCAATTGCCCTGTGCTCGAGAAGATCAACATCACTTCAAATTCACTTCAAGTATGTTATAATTATGTCTGTCATTTTTTGTTCACATACTTTTGTATACATATTATAGGCTAAAGGACAAAATTTGTGGCAATGCAGAAATTAACAATACCAAAGCAGGACAACTTAATCACATTAGCTCTGAAATGCCAATCTTTACAAGAAGTGGATCTCTCGGAGTGTGAATCTTTGACTAACAACGTATGCAATGTTTTTAATGGTGGAGGATGCCCAATGTTAAAATCATTAGTTCTTGATAATTGTGAGGTATGTGATTAACTAATGAATGTCATGAATTATACCTGTTTTTCTAGTCATCTTATCCACTTATTGTTGATAACCTGATATTTCGAATTTGGTCAATGGCCTATGAACTTGTTACCCATACTTTTGTTAATCATTTTTTAAAACCCTAACCTATGGTGTTTTGATAAATTCAGGGTTTGACATCAGTTCAATTCATCAGTACCTCTTTAATCAGTCTTTCGCTTGGTGGTTGCCGGGCAATAACTAATCTTGATCTCAATTGCCCTAAGCTAGAGAAAGTAATTTTGGATGGTTGTGATCATTTGGAAAGTGCATCATTTTGTCCAGTAAGTGCTATTGATTCACTTTATGTTTTGTATTTATGAGATGAAACTTGTTAATTCTTTATGCTTTTTGATCTGAACATTTGGCATGCTACTAAATCAATAACTAAGCTACTGAATAATGGTATGAACTATGAAATACTAAGTTTTCTGGCTCTGTTTCCTTACTGTAAAAGTTTATACTTTACAATGCAAGACATCTGGGTTTCTTCCCTCCTTTAATCGCTAACTCAAGGACTTGAACTTGTATTGTTACTATTTACATTAGCTAGAGACTAAGTATTTTTTTCGTTGACTTGCTTCTCAGGTCGGTCTTTCATCTCTCAATTTAGGAATATGTCCGAAATTGAACACACTCCGCATTATAGCACCAATTATGATTTCTCTTGAGCTGAAAGGATGTGGAGTACTATCTAAAGCATCCATTGATTGTAAACTCTTAACATCTCTTGATGCTTCCTTTTGCAGGTTATTTTGTACATTATTTTCCTATGTATCCTCCTTTCTAAAGCATTCACTAATTGTCTCTCTGAGCATATCTAGAATTTTCCTTTTGCAAATTATATTGTACATTATTTTCGTATGTATCTTCCTTGAATGCCAACTGACTTTTTCTGTTTGGAATTACAGTCGACTAACGGATGACTGCTTGTCCGCAACAGCTCTCTCATGCCCACTGATTGAATCATTGATATTAATGTCATGCCCGTCAATCGGTGAACGTGGTCTTCGATCTCTATGTTGTCTTAAAAATTTGACTGTTCTCGACTTATCATACACTTTCTTGGTGAACTTGCAGCCCGTTTTTGATTCTTGTTTGCAACTAAAGGTTAGATTTACCATAGATTGGTTTCTCATACTTTTTTTTTATTTTTTATTTTTTTTAATCATGAGCAGTGCTAATGAGCTGGGTTTTAACTAGTTGTACCATTCTAGTACTAGACTTTGAATAACAGTACTTTGGTTAATGATTAGTATTGTGTATTCATCCTTGTAATTTCCTCACTCTTTTCTCTTTCCACCTTATTCTGGAGATAATTTGACATTTCATATAATTATTATCTTCATTTTTTTCTCCTGTTTCATGAAGGTGTTAAAGCTTCAGGCATGCAAATATCTCACTGACACATCGCTTGAACCTCTTTACAAAGGAGGTGCTTTACCAGCGCTACAGGAGTTGGACTTGTCTTATGGAACTCTCTGTCAGTCAGCCATAGATGAGCTTCTTGCTTGCTGCACAAACCTCACTCATGTGAGCTTGAATGGCTGTGTGAATATGCATGATTTTAATTGGGGATGCAGTCCTGGGCAGATTGACAATATCCCTGCTGTAAACACCCCATATGAAGAAAGATCTAATGAGAACATCCCTGAATCAAGTGAGCAATCCACTCGCTTACTGCAAAACCTCAACTGTGTTGGATGTCCAAATATCAGGAAGGTTGTCATTCCATTGAAGGCAAATTGTTGTCATTTGTTATTTTTAAGCCTTTCGCTCTCTGCAAATTTGAAAGAGGTTGATGTTACTTGTCCCAACCTATGCTTTCTTAATTTAAGGTATGGTTGGCTCTCTAATAAATGTGGGTTGGTTTCTATCCATCTTATATCAGATATGACAATGTTTTAAATTCTGTGTTTCAGCAATTGTTCCTCTCTAGAAATTTTGAAGCTAGAGTGTCCAAGATTGACCAGTCTATTCCTTCAGGTCTTTAGTCTTTCTTTCATGCTAATTTAAATCTATTGATGCATTTGTTAGTTTTGAAATTGATGCTTTTCTGTTGTCTTATCTTGTTATTTTAGATATACTTTATAATATATTATGCCATACGTAGGTTTATTCACCAAAAAAGTGTAGTAAGTTATCTTTTCTGCATTACAGCTGATATCAGCCATCATTTACCCGGTGAAATTTATTGAAATGTTTTAAACACTCCTCTTCTTTGTATCTTTGATTTTATTTATTACATATTTACTTCATTCTCTTGGCTTGGGCTGTCGAGTTCCTTTCAAACTCTTGTATAATCGGGTATTTTCCTGTCTAAAGGTTTCTTGTGAACTCTCGGGGGTTGCATTAGTCTTTTATAAAATCATATCTGAGGTTTTGTTGTAGCGTGATTGAAATGGTATTGGTTGGGATAGTGCTAGGATCCAATTGAACATAATGACTAGCTTTTGTAGTGTGGTTCTCCCAAGGTTCTTGTTATATATTGTCTATCAGTTTTACAATCAAAATCTTGCAACTCACCCTTCACCAATTTGTGTGAAACCTCTTATTTTTCAATAATTTTTTTTGGTGTTTGGTAATTTGGGTTTTCAGTCTTGCAATATTGACGAGGAAGCTGTTGAAGCTGCTATATCAAAATGCACTATGCTGGAAAATCTTGATGTTCGTTGTTGTCCAAAGGTGAGAGCAAAGTTTTGTGATATTCATCAGTATCAGTTTGCATGTTGTCCGAGGCTTTTGGAAAATTTAGCTAATTAACCTTTTCATACATAATGATGGATTAATGCTTGACTATTGTTTTTGGTTATGATCTTCAACTATTTATTGTATATTTTATGGTGCTTCATAGATAAGCTCAATGAGCATGGGAAGATTGCGCGCAGTTTGTCCTAGTTTGAAGCGTACATTCAGCAGTCCGTCAACTTTGTTACCTTGAACAAGAATATCAAAATTTTTCCTAGTGCTTTTGTTCACTTGGATTGAAGGCGCGGCTTGGGAATAAATCTGGTTATTTCTCCGTGTATTGTAAATGGCTAAATTTTAAATTTGTTGTGTTTGTTTGGCATGTGGAAATCAGGTCTATATTTGCAATAATTTATCTGTTTTACTTGTCTACATTTCAAATTTAATCTTTTTTTTTTAATTGTTTTATTTTATACTAAAGCAGTCTAACGAATCCGTCTAGATTAAAGGCATCTTTCATTATATTTTTACCCTTTGTTTTAAAAACTGTTTTCTATAACTATTTCACATTACTCTGCAATTAATTTCTCATCAACAAATTTTTCTTTTAAAATTATTTCCGAAACTAAAAGTTTTGAAGATAAAAATCACCTCTGGAAATAATTTCAACATTTTGTTTTCTTAGTGTTTTAAGAGAATTTTTTTAAAAAATATAAATGTGTTCAGGGGACAAATACTGAGTTCAAGAAACACATTTTAGAACACGATTATGTTAAAAAATTAAACAAGGTCTAAATTTTTTAATCTCCTCGTAGTGTGACCTTGCAATGGTAAATTATTTCATCTCTCGGAACATTAGTAATACCTGGATATCAGTGGTAGAATTTTAACATGCTCTCCTATTATGATTTTGAACATTCATTTTTCCAAATTTTGACTTCTTAGGTAAGTTTTATGATTTATAATCGTAAGGTGGGTTTTTATTAGTTTTAGTGGTTAAACTTGCTCGCAATTTTTTCACTGTAATATTTAGGCCCAATGTCGTCTTCCTCCGCTCAGTTCATTGAAAATAATAAAATATAGGAATGTCCATTTTTCTCGTAATTTGGTTCAAAATTTTCGTTTTGTACTTTAGCAATAGAGAAGATTGCATTGAAAAAGTATCAATTTCGGAAATTACACTTTCTATTCGCGTTTCAAAGTTTTAGATCAATGAGGTTATAGCTTAAACGGAATCATTGTTCTCTTCGGCTAACTAGGTTTATTGTAATTTTCAGAGTAAAATAACATTTTACTTTTAAATTTGACTTCATTTGATTTTGGCCCTTGCCTTTTTTTTTTTTTTTTTTTTTTTTATGGCTGGATTTAGTTTTTGCAAGTTTTAAAATTTTGAAACTATTATTAATTTATTTGAGTTTATCTTATCTGAGAAGTTAGTGATTATTTATTACAAAAAATCTTGAAAAAAAAAGTAATTTATTTTTGCAGGGCAAAATTTTTAAAAAAATATTTTAATTTAGCAAGTTTTTTTAATGCTTTTTTTTAATAGTTTACACTTAAAAAAAAAAATCTTGTCATGATATCTTAGTCCTCTGAGAAAGAGATTAACTCTGTTTATAATATATTGTTCTTATAACGTATGAGCATAGTCGTTGGTTCAATGAATTTTTACTCACAATGAAAATGAGTTTTTTCATTAAATGAATCATTTCCAGCCTAATAAGGAGTTTATTATTGCACTCTCCTCTTCGAATTTCTTTTCATCCCAAAATGCTATATGTGATTATTCATTGACTTTCAAATTTGAATGTTTGACTGACTTTTTCAAATAAATTTTAGTTTAAAAAGAGTTTTAAAACAAAACAAACAATTAACTTATGTTTTCAAAGTAACTTTTAAACTAAAAATAAGCTCACGCAAACATATCCTTAATAGTGATATGATATGTTTTAAATTATTTCAAGTCATACTACCTGAAAATAGTTGGGTGAAGCGCAAGTGGAACATGCTAAATCGGCAGAATCTCATCAATTGTAGGAATTTTGATTTTGTTGCATTTCCACTTACCACGGTCTGAAAGAAATAGGATGATGGGGTCAGTAGTTTAGATTGGATATGGCTGAATTCTTGTCGATGTTCTCGAGGCAAGACCCTTTGGTGGCCTCGTTCTTTCCCTTCTCCATTGGAAGAACCAAAGCGGATACCGTAGTCCTTAAATATCATTTCTTCAGAAATAAGATATTTATGTAGTATGAATGGTTTTTTATATGAAAGCTTTTGGATAGCATGAGTTGTATTTGGTGGAACCTAATCGTCCATCTACAAAAAAGAATAATTCAAATGTAACCTGAGATCAATTCAACAACCAATGTGATGCCATCGTTTATAAGGAGTAACTGATGGGAGTAAAAGAAATTAAAAAATAAAAAATAAATAAAGTTACATCCGCATCACAGGTTTTCTTGGTTTTTATTCCCATTCTAGGGATGGGACTTAAATGTTCGTTTGGACCATTTTGCTTACAAATTCAACCACCTTACTGATAACATAACTTTTCATATATCTCAACATTTTCAGCATTAAGAGTCTACTTTAACATATAACAAGGAAGCTACACCTTGGTAAGGTTACTGGTTTTACTTGCTGTTAATCACAGAAGATAAAAGAAGCTTTAATAAACAGATCGATTATTCAAAACCTTTTATATTTTGATACAAATAATGTTATTTGTGTTTTAAGGTTCTGCCGTTGGAATTTAGGTTCCACAATCTTAACTATGCTGGCTAATACTCAAAAAAGGCAAACACGCCAGTTAGGTATTCATAGTATTGATTCTAGTTGCTTTAATTCAGGGTCCAAACTCCCTGTTTCCACGTCTTCCGGTTCCCTGTATGAATCGGCTATAACCTTTCCTTTACTTAGCACATCTGAAGGAACTGTTTGTAAGAGGCTGAAACACAAAGCTTAGTAAGAATCGCATATTTTTGTCATGTGTGCAAGTTGGGATGAAACTTGAGGCAAAAGGGACATTATGGGAAAGAAAAACAACAAAAACTACACAAATCACCTGTCCAGAGCGTTAAGGGCAGAATTGATTTTTGCCTTCATTGATTTGACTGAGGCTTCAGGATCATTTCTTGATGCATGAAGAAGCAAAGAATCAAGTTCTTCCAGTGACCTTCACAAACATAATTCTTTCAGTTGGGGTTTTTTCATATTGACACAATTTATTTCCACAGAGCATATAGCTCAATGGCTAATTGTGACAGTTAATTCATGCATTTTCTTTTTGTGTGCAGGAAATTGATTATAATACCTCAGACAGTCATCAACATCATTGAATGCAGTTTTACCATTGCCACTGTCAGATGCATACTGCGCCACCTATACAAAGATTGCAACTCTAATTAACTTTCATACACATCAATATACCATGAAGTGAATGGCGTAGCTGATAGATAGACATGGAGAAGAAGAAATAGATTATCCAAAGATTGATGTCAGCAATGGCGTGAGCTTTGAACAATAATCATTGAAGCTGTTGGTTGTTCTGCATTGTTTAGGAGTGTTTTGAAATTTGCTTGATAAGGAAGGCACGTATGGCTGTATCAAGCAGTTTACAATGTTATCTCTTTATTTTTCCCCTCCTGAATGGAGATTGTTAGAGTTCAAGTGTGAAATAAAGTCCTACATAGGTTAGAATCGGGCATGTTGAGTATATAAGTGAGAAAGACTCACCTACTTAATGTTTTAAGGTTTTATATTATGTTGTGGTGTCAAACTCACTTGTATAACTTAATACTCATTATGTGGAGTGTTCCTTGCTGTAAAAACTCCTAAACAGTAGTATCAAAGCCGATGGTTTAACCAAGTAAGTGGTGACCGGCTTGGTAATGGATGGATCCAACAGAAGGATCCTGAATGGAATTGGCAGGAGATCCAAGAGAAGCAACGATAGTGCAAGTAAGGCTACTATTGAATAACGAAAGAAAGGGCAGAGTGTAAGTTCACACTTGAGGGGGAGTGTTGGAGTTCAAGTGTGAAATGAGTGTAAGTTCACACTTGAGGGAGAGTGTTGGAGTTCAAGTGTGAAATGAAAACCTAAAATTGATTTGTAAGATGAGGATTATCTAAAATTTAAAAGTGAGTGTAGTTTAAGTAAGCAAATAGAACCAGGCATCATACCTAAAAATTTTGAACTTAGGCCTAACTCAACCCCTTAAAATGATTTGTAAGATGAAGATTATCTAAAATTTATAAGCTTTATTTAAGCCATATTTCTAGTCGGTATAAAACTAAACACAACTAAGGCAGATTAGATGTGACTGCAATTAAGACAACTTTTCAATATATTGGAAAAACAAAATCTTTTTAGATCCAAAAGAACTAAGTAGAAGGAAGCCTTTACTTACAGCTCTAATATTTACACGAAGTGATGCTGCAGGCCCAGAACGAAGTAGAGACCGGCAGAGGCCAAATTGGGGCTCATCACCCTCTAATGTTTTTTCTGCAGCAAAGAAACAGAAGCCTTAGTAAATTTTTTACCTTCAAATTATGATTCTTACAACAGGATTAGCAAGTATGAAATAAATAAACAACTTAAGAATGTCGGAATCACATAGATTTTCTAATATCCAGATATGTAGCAAGACAAAGACATTACCCAAGTCCTTGATCTGAAACTCTGTAAGTATCACAGCCGGTACATAAGCCTCCAGAGGATCAAGCTTTTTTCTAGAGCATTTTAGATCATATTAGATTTAAAATCATCATTCTCCACATGCACAAAAACATTTATTTAACCATAAATTATAAACATAGCAAATCCTAAACCAAGCAATAAATCAAACATACGCTCCCCGTAAGAAGAAACAAATCAAATAGTAGTTAGTCTAATATAATTTATCTAATACATGTATTATTAAACAATCTCAAAGCTAGCCAATAGCATAGATATAAAATCATGAATGCTTATACATGTAAAAATAATAAAAAACCTGCAAAAATTAACTTGTAAACGCTAACTAAACTATTTATAAGTTGAGATTGAACTTTATACCAAAAGCTAATTATATAAATCATTTTGTTTATTATTGAAATCTATTACACACCCTCTCTACACCGTAAAAGAACACAAGTAGTCTGATTTCTGATTTCTATCATTGATGTGAGACAACCTCTTGTAAAAAGAAAAAAGAAAATGACATTTACGAAACTAAATATATGATGATCCAATAACAATTAGTCCACAACAACAATACATTAATTTTTCTTATTATTAGTCATGTGTTATTTGCAACAAAACTAATAACGGCTAAGTAAAGTAACTAATTAAAATATAGAAACACTAATAGTAATACGACTAAAAAAGAAAAAAGAAAAAAGAAAAAGAGAAATTGAATGAGATGGTGATGATCGATGAATTCATAGATACCTCTTAACATACTTATCTAAAAGACTAGCTTGGGCAGCATCACCTGCAAGTGCCACGTGTAAAGAATGAACGATAGAAGCAAAGCAAGATAGGGAATAAGAGGGTGCAACGGTTAAACACGTACAGTTAGGAACTAGAAGGAAGTGGGAGAGAAGGAGCGAAAACGACACCGTACGCCGGCCTTCACGCCATGCCGGGGGTGACACTGCGCACCGCACAAGCTTGGCCTTGGAAGTGGAACAATGCAAGGGCTTCTTGTTGCTAACATGCGCAGGGGTGCCAAGTGACGCCATCAATATCATACTCTCTCTCGCCGCCTACACTTGAATCTTGATTGCTGATAACGTAACCGATTCGCTGGGTCCCACTCTTATCTTCTTACTTCTTACTTCGTCTTTCACTAACCACTTCTTCTAATTTCCAGATATACCCTTACTATTATTACTCATAATTCTTTTCCTTTCATTTTCCGCGTTAACTTGTCTTCGTTTCGTTGTACAGCAACAAAAGTCAAATATTATTTACTAATATTTTATCTTTTAAATATTAAATTCATGTCATGAATTATCAATATTATTTAAATTAAATTATATTTTTATCTCTTTATTTTTGTCAATTCCTAATTTTGATCATTCTATTTTAAAATAAAAATATTTAATCTTTCAATTTTTAAGATATATAATTTTGATTTTACTATTAATTTTATATTCATTAATTTTTAAAATTTTAATATTATCATCACTTAACTGATTTGATATTTAATAACATGAAATCTATATTATTAAATTTTACAAATATAAATAAATATTAAAATTTAATAATTAATAAATGTTAATTTGATAAAAAAAAAAGCTAAATTTTATATTTTTTAAATTAAAAAGACTAACTATTTCTATTTTAAATATAAGAATCAAAACTACAGATGAACAAAAATAAATAATTTTTTCTCACTTATAAATTCTTTATTTGCTTTATTTTTAGTTAATATAAGATTTAGATTTTTTTTAATATATTTTCTTACGTTTAAAATTACTAAGTAA